ACAGAGAGAGACATAGAGACAGAAAGCGAGAAATCACCCCCCAGAGGGGATGGTCACGCTGCAATCCCTTCTCCTCCATTCTCCTCTCGGGATCTTGGGCACGCACGCACACACGCCCGGCGTGAGTTTTTTAAGCCACCGGGTCCAGGACCCGAACCGTGGTCGACTACGTGGGAGTCCAGCGACATAGCCATTACGCTAACTGCTGGTTCCCCCAATAAATAATTCTTAAAAAAAACCCAAAAAACAAAAATCTTACTATGGTTAAGATATACCATGTAGAAAGTTTTAAAAAGAAAACCAATCTTGTCAACTTTCAAATGCAGTTACGCAGATTCCTGACTCTCCAAGAGAGCACTCTATGTTTTAAAAGGCCTTAGTTTTCTCATTTGTTAATGAAAGCCTTTGACATTTTTAAGGTGCTTTAGTTTCCCAGTTTTCTCAACATCATCTTGAACCCATCAGACTAATCTATGTTCTTCCTTCATCCATGTAGCCAGATGTCAAAAGCAATGAACTATTTAATCTATACTACTTGATCAGTGTGTAGTGAAACTGAACTATGCCAATGAAACACTCATGGAAAAGATGCTATCCATGGAGATTTATCTAGGATTAATACAGGCAGAGACATGGGCACACAGTTGGGATGGGAGGGCAGTCAAGAAGCAGCAGTGTGAGTAAAGGTACAAAGATGAGAAAACCCGTAGTGTGCTTGGGAGAACAGGTTAGTTGACTTGGCTGGACAATGGGTATCAGAGATAAGGTCTACATGGTAAGTGAGATTTGCACAGTGGAAGGTCTCAAAGAGCTGAAATTTGTTCTTTTGAGAGTTCCCGAAGGTTTCTGGGAGAGTACGATCCATGTTGATTTTTAGAAGGATCATTAAGGTGTTTTTTGCAAGATGGACTGCCTTGAGAGAAAGAAGAATGTACAGTATCCGTTCAGGCATGGCGAGACATGAGATACACCTGCTAAAGTAGCTCTGATAGGGTATGAGGAGAAGTGGGGAGAAGACAATGATAAACTGAAAATTAGATAGACCACAACTGGGACTATTAACAAAAGTAGGTAATTTAGGAAAAAAGCTAGTTCTATCATGATCCCTGAAGATGGT